TCAGGAGTTTGCTGATGCACTTGAGGTCATCCCTTACACATTGGCTGAGAATGCAGGGCTCAACCCAGGCCAATCGCCATTGTTACCGAACTAAGGAATCGCCATGCCAAGGGTGAGAAGAACACGGGCATCAACGTGAGGAAAGGCCAGATCACAAACATCCTGGAGGAGAATGTCGTGCAGCCGTTGCTTGTGAGCACGAGCGCCATCTCGCTTGCGTGCGAGTGCGTCAGAGTGATCTTAAAGATTGATGATATAGTCACTGTAAGGTAAAGCCTGTAGGGCGGATGATCCTTTTTAGGGCTGTGTTTTTCTGTGTGGGGGTGATGACCACTTTGGCCTGCCTGGTGCTATCTGGCTAGTTGTGTTACGTAGGTGCACTGAGTTACTTTTATTTGTGAACGTGGCTCTTTGATGTGTTATGATTTTGTGGCTGTGGCTTCTGCTGAAGATATTGGTATCTTGTATACTACCAGTTTATCCAGCAACAATATGCACAATTAACTCTAAAATATAGATCTAAAGTAGTAGTTGGAAGTGAAATCCTTCAATGATTGTTCACTGAAATTATTCTCATCTCATCTCAGTTCATGCCCTGCCGTGTCCCGAACCTGCTCTCTTCTCTTCCACGAGACAGACAACGGCCATCAGTACATCATTTGAAATGGCGGCCATCATTGGTTCACAACCAAAAGCTACAGCCATCCAGTTCCACAGTTCAACCACAAGCTTACATTACATCACAGAGCAGTTCACAGCAAACTAGAACACGGGAATTGCAAATAAATACTCCCTCTAGTATTAACAACGCTCTTATATTATGGGACGAAGAGAGTAGTTCATTGTGATACATATTTTAGTAGCGCCAAAACAGCCGGTGTCGCTTCTGTGTCCAGTGTCGTCCACCCTGCCACGCCAAGTCTTGAAGCCATGAAGTCGAGCAACTCCTTAACATGGACCAGAACCTTGTGCGCGAGTATGTGCCTCGCCCGCAGCGATGTATACTGGTTACCATGCTGCATGCATATTAAAATTAAATGAAGCAATCTATTCTCACAACAACTGCATACCGCAAAACACAATGCTTGTATTTTGTAAGAAACATGAGTGGTTTAGCTAAAAAGGTTCAATTTTTTTTCTGTACTATTTTGGACAACTTCAACTTTTTGGAGCGGAATTGATCAAAGGGACATAATGGACAGAAGTACACACAGTATTTTAACAGCATGGTAATATAATATATATCCAAGTTTTTCCTTTATCATTATCAGATCACGGCAGCTGTTGCGCCACCCTCATAGAACCAATCAAGCTCCCTTTTCCTAACCAAGAAAATGCCTCTTAAAACAATGCCAGTGATCTATAGACTATGAGAGAGTACTAACAGAGACTACAAAGTTGCATCAGGCAGTAAATTAGTCACCTTGTCAGGGTGAGCCTGGCTGTACACAAGGGCTAGGGTGCTTCCCCATGAACCGCCAAACACCTACATCATCCTCATAACCAGTGTATTTATTTACTGAAAGTCATAGTAAAGCAAACAATTTTCTGAGGAAATTATAGTTGCTCCATTTCGAGAATATAACCAGACATGGGATTTGAGACTTCATACCGGCAACAAGATAGCGACCTCGCTGAAACTGTTAGCGCAAGAAATCTCCATCAAATCGCCAACCTTGAATCGAGCCCCACGCCTTTCCTTTCTCGGCTAGAATCCTATAACTGAAAGCTCTGTTCATGAATGTCAAGATACCTACCTTAGAAGGTCCAAATGCATTCACATGCCTTCTTTCCCTGATGATTTGTCATTAGCACTGATAAGGTGCATGATGATTCATTACTTCCACCAGCCAGTGGGTTATACTTATACAGCTGCAAGGGTTCAAACGTCCGTGCGAGGCTAGTGGATCTGAAGAGTGCAGCACCCAAGAAATGCATGCAATTTTCAGATGATCTGTCTCCACAGGTGGGCGGCTGGGTGCTCCAGGTGTCCATAATTTTTGCTGTCAGGATCTTAGTGTTGAAATAACCTCACAAGCCAAACTGGGTCAGTTGGATGTAACGGCAGACATAATGTTTCAAGCACATTTATCTTGACTCCCATGCCAAGAGAATCTTCTGCTGCCACCCTCCAAACATCTGTGCCAACTTACCTAATCAACCAGAAGCAACCTGAGCTAAGAAGATCCAAGGATCCCCAACCCAACTTGGCGCCTATAAATAATCCTCACGGTGCGCTACTTGATCCCATCAGTTTCTGCACCAACAGCACATCACATACTAAGAAGGCATTCTCCTTCTTGCACAAATGGCCTCCATTGTGCCCCTCTTCTCTCTGCTGTCATTGTTCTTGTGTTGTGTTCTTGCCAAGGGAGGCATGAAAGTGGCCCCTTCGGCGAATGGGGCTGACCATAGAGGCCGGTCTCTACAGACAAATCATGTTTTCAGCGTGCTCGGATATGGAGCTTACGGCGATGGACGCCATGACGACACAAAGGTATGTATAGTATAGTGCAAAACCACCTCTTCCAAAATACATAGCATAATTCATTTCACTAGAAATGGAAGTGGATATTTTTTGTAGGCATTGTCAAAGGCGTGGGCTGCAGCTTGCTCCTCTTTGAATCCTAGCATCGTGCTCATCCCCGGGGGCAAGAAATACCTAACCAAGCATTTAACCTTCTCCGGCCCATGCAAATCCAGTATCACGTTAATGGTGAGATAGATGAATGACAAGAACATGCATGCATTATTTTCTTTCATAAAATTTTGCAAACAAAGATGACGAGTTGTACCAAATTCCAGATTGAAGGTACTTTGGTAGCCCCTCCGAAGAGATCATACTGGATAGAGGATACCATTAGGCACTGGATTTTGTTCAGATCTGTGAGAGGTCTTACCGTCACCGGTGGCGGGACCATTGATGGAAATGGGAAGATTTGGTGGCAGGATTCCTGCAAAATAAACTCAAAACTCGTAAGTATATTGAACTTCTAAGTTGCGCAGTAATGAAAACCACTAGAAAATTGCAATGTTTCACTGTCAACTTTAAAGTTTAACTATTACAGCTTTGATTTCCTTTTTCCTGAAAGCTTTCTAATATGAATTGTTCCTTTTCTTTTCCTTGGCAGCCATGCAGGCAAGCTCCAACGGTGAGTGCACCTTCCAATCATCTTAATTCGCATATTCCGATCTAGTAACCTTGTTTTCTTGATTACATATTGGCTATCTTAATTTCTTTTCACATTCCAGGCTTTGACGTTCTATTCTTGCACAAATCTGAGAGTGGATAATTTAGAACTGTTGAACAGCCAACAAATCCACATATCAGTGGAGCATTGCAGTGATGTAAGGATGTCCCACTTGTCAATCACAGCACCCGGCACTAGCCCCAACACCGACGGCATCCATATCGCCCATAGCAAGGATGTCAAAGTCATGGACTGCGCAATCAAGACCGGGGACGACTGCATGTCAATCGAGGATGGAACCGAGAACCTACATGTCAACAACATCGTGTGTGGACCGGGGCATGGGATAAGCATCGGGAGCTTAGGCGACCGCAACTCTCAAGCCCAAGTTGCAAACATCACCATCGACGGGGCGCGACTGCGCGGCACGACGAATGGGGCTCGTATCAAGACATGGCAGGGCGGGCGGGGCTACGCAAAGAACATCGTGTTCCAGAACATGATGATGGATAATGTGCAGAACCCAATCATCATCGACCAGAACTACTGCGACTCGGCTACACCATGTAATGAACAGGTAAATTAAAGAACATGACGACTGCGTTGGTTTTATTCATTTGTTTGTGCGCATAGATATAATCTAGCGTGTTTTTTTGTGTGTGTAGAAATCGGCCGTGGAGGTGAGCAATGTGTTGTTTAACAACATTAGGGGGACAAGTGCCTCAAGAGAGGCTATCAAGCTCAGTTGCAGTAGAGTTGTGCCTTGCCATGGGATAGCCTTGCACAACGTCAGGCTTACTCTGAAGCGAGGAGGTGGTGATGCAGAGAGCAGCTGTGAGAATGCAAAATGGAGGAAATTGGGGACAGTTATGCCACAGCCATGTAGTCTCAACGACTGAAAATATATGGCAAGGATTTGAGAATTTTTAGTTGTATATGATGAGCAGGAAGGGTTGCATGTTTTGATAGTACGCTTCCTCTGATTTTCCGAGTGAAGTCTTCCAATGGAAGGATTTTGAGTAGATAAGTGCAATAGAAGGATACATGCCAACACTGAAGTGTACTAGTGATCGCCGCCGCGCTCTACTCATTGTTGAAGAGTTGTTCTTTTTGTATTTTTGATGAGTATCCGCTGTGTGGTCTGTTTGTTTTTTAGTACTGTACGTATAACGGAGCGGAAGATAGTAGTGCATTAATTACTTTAGTGATTTTTTTTTTGTGGAGAGCATAAACCCTTTCGAGCATTTAGCAAATTTGGGCAGCATTTCTACTCGAGCTGAAACTGGGAAATTATATGCTTTTTTCAAAAGAAGAAGCGGTACTATGAGAACCCAAATCTACAAGTTAAAATCTTGGCTATCAAAGATATTTGTCATGACTTCACAATTGTTGGACTGAAAATGCAGTCAAGTGGCCAAAAAGTAAATTATTCATATCCAAAGTACAAACAAGGGACAGTTTTCTTGTTATAAGCAAAGATCGAAGGGTACATTCTGGGCAGAAACCATACCCTAGTATACAAGAGCAATCAGTACGTAGTCAGTTTCGCCGAACCGATGAGATGAGTTCTTAAGAAGTACAACACGAGGGCGGGCAAGAATAACGGCAACCTCACCAACTTACCTACAGGCTACAGATGAACATCAGAGTATCTACCCAATGTTGGCTATCTCCTAACCACCTCTTATGTACCGCGGACAACCCCGATTTGCCAAATGGTCAGTGTAAGCATCTGCTCCTACAGTGATGTAAATGGTACACACTAATACACCCTCCTCTGAACAAAGAGCCCGAAAGATATGAACAAACTCAGCCAGCTAGAGAACTCCTAGGTGTTACTCGCATTGTTGTTTCTGTTATAGTGTTATTATTCTCAACAATAAGAGAGGTCAGCTCATTTTCTTGTTGACTTCTCAATCTTGACAAAGTAGGGAGGCTCCTTTTGATTCTCTCGGGTAGATACCTGGAAATTTTTGGAAACAGATCCTTTATGACTACCAACTACAACCAGAATAGCGCAAGGTACATGACCGGAAAAAACATATGGTTGCGGAAAGTTGGTCTATGGAACACAACTTACATGTCAATTCTTTCTGCAATTGCTCTGCGCACTGAAGAGTTGAGACCATAAGCAATCGAATTAAAAAGGCCCTAAAAATGTTGGGGAACATTAGTCTGGAGAATTGATGAAAAATAGGAGAACTATGTAATAAATCTATCAACGAAATTATTTTGTACATAATGCAGGCACAGATGAACAGTATGATTCCAGCAAATACAGCAACAAGAGGGAGTCATAACTCATAAATACCCTAAGGCCTGTTTTGAATTTTGATGGTGGATTTTATCCTAATCTATTAAACTAACTTAGTTCTATAATGAAGGCTACCAAATACAAGCCAATTGCATGGGCTCGTTCCAAGAAATAAAGAAATAAACATGTTGGAACGCAAGCATGCCCATCTTTTGGAGTAGAACTATCAATAGAATGACAAAACGTTAACATGGATTCATTCAGTATCTCCAGGAAGTACGAACCCCAGTTAGCAACTTTGCATCATATGAATCCAGAAGCATCTAGTCTAAGAATGGAAGACAAAAGCATCCAAAGACTCACCATAAGTCCAGCAAATCCAATATCAAGGATGGACAGCCAAAATATCTTGTGACCAGGATTAGCAAAGTCATGCAGGCGATTGATTGTCGCGAAAGCCCATGAACCGATTAAAATCAGAGGGTAATAACCCCACCGGTTAAATGCCTACAAAGGGAAGCAAATAATGGTAAGAAGCTGATCAAGGACACACCAAATTAGCATGATGATGAGTGTACTACACAGTGACATATTCCTCACAATAAAAGCAGCTGTAATTTTTTATCATTAAATCTTATAGAGAAGTAGTACAAAAACATAAAAGGAGCTTATGGACTAACAATGTTGAACAGTCTGTTTTCGGTTAAAAACTGATGATGCACACCATGCATATACCTTCTTGTCCGCCCTCACGTCAGATTGACTTGATCGATCACTCATGCCAACAGCCATCTACAAATTAACATAAACTTTTCAGACGATACAGCCAGAAAGAGCAGAACATATCAAGTGCTACAATACAAGCCTCAGTCAGCCTACCCTCAATAGTCAATATACAAGAGAAAACAGTAAACAGAACGTGTGTTGTATGCATACCCGTGTCGCATTGTTCAGCATGCGGTTTACTTGATAGTACGTAAACCCATTGTAGAGAATGGCACCCCAAAGTGGAAGGTAAAAGGTAATCAAGTGTAAAATCTGCAAGTAAAGGGCATTCTAGTGAAGGAAGCTAAGAAGATGATACAGTGAAAACATTTCTACATCTCAGGGACTGAGTGAAGACCATATAAATGGATTGTCAATATATTGCAATGTCTTTGAAAATCTGAAGGTAGTCCAAGCAAGCTAAGTCACAAATGGAACATATAAAGGACGCTACGCAACCCGCCGTTCTGGAGGGTCTTCTCGCGCGGTGAATGTGGATCGAACGATCTACCACAGTCATACGTTTTTACGCTGCTTTCAACAATCTGGTCGTTGGTTGCTCTGTACATTTCGCTTTCAGGCTCCATTGGATGACGGGCGGGGTTCCTTTCCTTGCGGGCCCAACATTGCAGACTGTGCATCGCATGTGACGGGTGAAAAAGGGCCTAACTACAGCGATCGTGGGCGATGTGGGGTTGGTCGATTCCCAGGGCGTGCAGTAAAAACCCTAGCCAATCCTCTGCTTCCTCGAGCCTCACGTCCCCTCTACTTCCCATTCGCATCTCTGCTCCTCCCATGCGCTCCCCTGTCCCATCCACGCCCAGCGGGACGGCCGCAGCGGCGGCGAGCGGCAGCAGGAGCAGTGGCCGGGTCAAGGCAGGTGTTGACGGCCTGGATGCAGACGACAGGGGCTTGGCTGCGGCCGGAAAGGCAGTAGCGGCCTGTGGGCATCAACCAGAACCACAGCGACCTCCATGGATGATAAGGGCCCGGCGGGCTCGTGCAGGCGGGAGAAGGGGCGCTCGCCGATTGGGCAGATGGTGGCCATCCAAGTTTCTTCAAGCCATAGCAGGGTACGTGAGGGGTGGAGGCGAGCGACCCTCTGGAACCGCGCACGTTGAGAGGTAGCAGCCGTGCCCCTCCTCCTTCCCTTCTCTTCTCCCCCCTCCTCTCCAATCTAGGATGCCCATTTGCGTCCTCGGCATCTTCCTCTTCGAGTTTATTACTCCTTGATTTTTTGATTCTCTGATAATCTAATTTGTTTTCTCAATACAAGTAATTAGATTATCAAGTGCTACAGTTGTCACAATTCTAATTTGTTTCCTCGGCATCTTCAATATCAAGTGCTACAATACAAGGCATAAATTCAAATGATTAGTATATGCATGGTAATCTCTGTGCTTTTGACAACCACTAGAAGACCGTGTGACAACTAATTTATGATTGATTATCTGCTCCTTTTTATTCCTGACATTTAGCTCTTGCCCTTGATCAGTACTTTAGAAAGGAGCTCTTCCTCGGCCTCCGCCTTGGCGTGACCTGCACTGTCAGTACATATGTTGTGGCTATGCCAAAAGTAACCACTTAATTAGATTTCTATTTTTAACTAATCCCTCTTCCGTTTCAGCAATGTTCAAGTCTGAATACAATTTCTCCTATATATATTACATCAGGTGATGACATAATTTAGTTAATGGCATTATGGCAGGACTCATGTGGTCTTGGTTACAATGGCGGCTCATGAAGTTCAAAAAATGTGTTCTTTACAGATTTGAGATGATAGAAATTCAGAATAGGTAAGACAATAAGCCATGTTTCTTCTTTGCTGGTTTAGCTGTCATGTGCCGCATAGTTTTTTCCGCCCCACATACTACTGGGTGCCTCTTTGTTGTTTTACTAGATCCATCTCCATGAGCTATGGTACTTATAGTGGATCTGTTTATTATTTCCGGTCCAGCTGCTTAGGCTAAGCATTATGAATGACACACTGTTTTCATCCTTCTGTTGTTAAGAATCGATGCGGGTATGCTTTAGTTTTCTCTCTGCAACCAACTTAATGCAGTTAGCGAAGAACAAGATAAATGAAGTACGTGCTATACTACTATGTTGACTAGATAAAAATATTATGGACGGAGTGTTTTAGTTGTGCTGAAACGTCAGGGGAGGAGTACAGCCAGCCAGGTTAGTGTGTACATTGCTTTTCTATTTTTGACGGGCATTGTTTGTGCTTCGCTAAAATGAGCTAATTAATTCACATAATTTTCCGTGTGATTTGCAGCTCTGCAATAGAAGAAAATGCAGAAAGAATGAACAAGAAGCTATAGATGGATATGTCGAGGTTGCAATTTTTCTACCTCCACCCCATGTTTCCACTTATGATTTAGTTGATAGTATGATTCCTGGCTTGGGAGGATGCCATAAACAAGATATGCATTAAGTTTCTAATGCATTTTCATTGCAGTTGCTTTTTGCTAGAGCAGATCATTTTAGATGGATATATATGTACGCATGTTGGTGGAAGTCAGAGAGATTAAGAGGGAGAAGAGTGAGAGAAAAAACGCCAGGGAGCAAGATAGCTAGACAACTGATTAGTATATGCTCTTCTTTCTGCATTTTCTTCTATTGCAGAGCTGCAAATCAAAGAACCTAAATAAATTATTGTAAATAACCCTAAGGATTTTCTTGGACTTGAACTATCTTTAAACCTTTTTTCTTGCTTCTTGATGCTTTTAGACTATCATGCTGCCCTGGACTGGAATACAACCATTATGTTTAAGAATGCATGCTATCTATGAAATATCTTACATGGTACTAATTCTTGGACTGCTTCGGTTTTTTGCGCCAAGGGCGTGGTGGGTCATCGATTTCCTTATGCATCAAGGATTTTATTATCAATCTTTAAACTATTCTTACTTGATTGGCTCACTCTCGCTTTTTGCGCCATGGGCGCAACGGGTCATCTAGTCCATATAAATGGTGAATGGCAGTTTGAACTGTTTGATAACAGCTATGGATGATGTACAAATGCTACATGGAAACAGTGGAATTCAGGAAGATAACTATTTGAGCTGTTCTTGGAATCACTGATAATATAAGAAAATAGGATCAAATGTATCTTAGTTTAAGCAACAGGAGTGTGTATAACCAAATTAACAAGCTCTTAATAAAAGAGAAAGATGTACCTTTCCCGTGCTTCCCTGCTGGATCCAACACCAGGTCCCTGGCCTTCCATAATCACTTCCTATTGAACGTAATACAGTTGTAACTAGTGAAGTTCCTGAGGAATCAAAAAAAGGAGGCTCTATGTTTAATGCAACTCATATACACATAATATGAACTAGTCCGAAAATATAATAAAGGGCACCCAGGGCGGTACACTCAGATGATACATAGACAAAATCTGCAGCACAAGTTACTAACATGGCTAATTACCAGTTACAACTATCTGAGGCCAGCAAATGAAATCACTCGTGCTCATTTTCGAGATACATAGGCATGAGCATCTGATTGGACAAACAACAGAAATTGGCACTGGCATAGGCAGGGTTGAAAATAGCTACACAAAAAATGGGTTACATACGTACGCCATACATAAATGTTGCCATGAGATATAGCAACCTGAATATTAAGACAGACATAGCATGATGCATCCAACACAACTGACAGCTATGTTGTCTGAAAAATTCCATATTCATCGGCAAATTAGCTACACATAGATGACACAGCTATGAATTTGTGAAGTTTTAAAAAATGTAACCTATTCAAAGCATGTTTTTTAACTGGTTGGACAGGTCGCTGCAAGTAATTTGGAAACATGAAGAAATCAGAGAAGTGCCAAAGTGGTGAACAACATACATACCCCATACATACAAGTGGAAAATGAATCCAAACTCCTCAACATCAGTTTTGTGCTTGACCACTGTGCGATGAAGAGTGAATGCTATAGTGGTTGTCCATAGAAAAGAAGCCACACAGAAGAAATGTGCACTGTAGTCATGTGCAAAGCAATAGAATGCATTTGCTGGGCCCCTACAACATCACATGACAAACTCACTAAATTAATCTGCCACAAAACCCAGCAATCAAGCTGCATGGCAAATATCATTGTAAAATACGGAAGAGAACAAAGAGCAGTCTGTTTTGTTCTAGCAGAAAAAAGTGCTATACATTCTGTTTACATCCCTCCTATTGATAATTGTAGGGAAATATCAAATATATACTACCCATGATAAAACGTTGATGTGGCTTTTTGTCATTGTTATTAGCAAAGGTGGATATAATCAGAAAGACAGGAAGCAACTCCGTCCAGCAGAGAGTATATTAAAATTATACAGACAGCAACATACCCCATTATAGTGAATAAGCTGCAAAGCATATCCTGCAATTGAAGTGAACATTGTCAGAAAAACTGAAGCATACAGTAGTTAAAGCAATGAAGAAAGCTTGCTTCAAATAATGCTTTCACTAGTATGCAGAGCACCTTGACTAGACATGTACTTCATTTTTCTAAGAAAGAATTCCGCATTCTATCGCCAAAACAAAAGTAGGTGTATGCTCATCATCCCACTCTATGTTTTTAAAGCGTCCCTAAGGCGTCGCCTAGGCGCCAAAGCGCCCCCCCTCCCTAAGGCGGTAAGGCGTCGCCTTAAAAACATAGATCCCACTGGTTGCAAATTCAACAACAAAATAGAGCTAGGGGGCAATGTGATCTCTTGCAAATGAACAATCTAAGAAATGCCTATTGGATGCCAGTTTTTCCGCATTCAAGTATATATGTGGAAGACATCCTACCCCTTAGCTTCATTAAGCTGGAGCGGCCCATGTGGGAATGGCAACAGGTCACATGATCTCAACCATTCTCCGGTTATCTTATGAAACAAGTGTTAAGTTGATCAATAATTGAAGCTAACCATAGTGTAAGACATGCTTAGTGTCGTGCTAAAGCTACTGCAGCTACGAAACTATCGGGGAAATGACTCTATGATGGCCCCAACTGGCAGAAATAAGCATCACGGGTCAAAATTTGACGCACATTTCTGAAGATCCCGGTCCTTACTACCTCCTGCACCAAATTCTCCACATCTACTTCAGCTCGTACGTCCAAAAAGTAAACCATTATGAGCTATAATGTGCTAAATTAGCGTTATGGGCCATACAAATTGTTCAATTACAGACCGAACTTCCAAACCACTGCTCGCAGATCGCGCCACAAGCCCCAAATTCCAAGCCGCGGCCACGCCAGATCACGCAATCAGCATCCCAAACCGATAAAACAGCAAGCAAAGCTCCCAGATCCGATGCTCTCACCGCGACGGCGAGGAAGTAGACGAGCTTGAACGAGAACTTGCGGAGCTCGCGGAAGAGGAGGTAGCAGAGCACGATGAAGGAGGAGCCGGCGAGCGAGAGCGCCGCCGCGGTGGTGCCCACGGCGTCGAGGATCTCGCGGTTCCTCATGGACTGGCTCGCCGCCGCCGACGCCGCCAGGGCCGACGCTGCCATCGCGTCGCCGTCGCCGGCGATCTCTGCGGTGGTGGGGAGGTGGGGGAGGACAATTATTTATTTAGTATTTTATTTTATTTTGAGGGAAGGGGGAGGACAGAAGTGGCGCAGAGGAGAACGGCTGGTGAAAGTTGTTAGCTGTTGGGTTGGGTTGGGTTGGGACCGAGTGCCTTCGCAGCGAAGGTTCTGGCTTCATTGGGCCTTTCGATGGGTGTTCTGGGCTGGGATTGTGTGTACTTTTAGGCCTAAATTCGTGGGGAGACGGAGTTAAAAAAAAGCCCAAGCTAAGCCCTAGTTTGTCTTGGACAAATTTAGACTGTAAAATAAATTCCCTTAAAAAAAGACTGTAGAAAAAGTTGTTTTTTTAGGGAAAAGGAGTAAAGACCAAAATTTAGGAAGAAATTGTACTGGATTTTTTATTTTCTATGATTTTTATTTATTATTATGTCGAAATGAAACATTTGTTCTTTTAAATTATATGTAATTATTTAATGTGAAAACGAACATGTACATTTTGAGTTTTCTTCTCTCAGAGAAGATACGCCTTATGTACCTGAGGAGAAAACACACTATAATTCTAGAATTGCTTTACTTGTCAGTCGATCTAGTTCATTTAGGTTCACAAATTTTTAGTGCTTTGTTTGTCGCAAAGTAAAAATGCTTTGTCGGCGTTTTGACTAATTGCGTGGTGTGTTAACAATACCTGCATACCCACATGGCATTACAATCGTAGATGAAGAAAGGTAAGGCGATTTGAGCAAACCGCAAAATACTTTTCAACATATTATCTTGTTTTAAAATTGTATTCGGAGTTATTTGACTTTTTATAAGTCTTAGCTCTGTTCTTTTTTCCAGGAAAGTCTTAGTGATATTCTACGAGGGAGTTTTTCTGCTAGCATTATTTGCATGGCCGATTCCACCCTAGCTGTCCTTCCCAGACCTACATCTTTTCTAATCAATTTTGTCAACTCCATCTAGCTCTTAATTTGAAGCGATCACAATGAACTCCATTTAGCTCTTAATCTGGGTCTGGGCAATTTCAATGGCTCGACAGGCTCCAGCAGCCCATGGAAATGGGTTCAATCAGCAGCCTCCATACATTTGTTAACAAATGAACAGGTCATCTCGTCAAGTCAATGACGGTCAGTTCGCCCGCCCATGATTAAGCTAGCTCGGAATCTTAGTTTAGCTCAGGCTGTCGCTCGTACATAACCAAGATTTGTTTACCCTGACGCATTGTCGAGCTTATCTTGCAGTTGCAGCAAGCCAGAGGCGAGCTCGGAATAGCATATTCACAAGTTCCTCAGCACTTTTGTCTCGCAGTACCATGAACACACACGCACACGTATGAGTCAGTGGCTTGCTATATTGGCGCATCCTGATTATGGGGGCGTTTGTGCTTTGTACTTAGCATCCTGCTCTGTTGATTATTGGTGACTGTGTGGTGGCCAAGGCCAACTGACTAAACCACCTGCTCGAACGTTGATGGATGGACGTCACAGCGGTCAATGCCGGCCCTTGAGCGCTCCGTGGGACGCACTACCCCTCCACCAAAAGAAAAGACGCCATCTAAAGCTGTGTAGGCCATAGATTTCGTTATCTTAGTACAAAAATTCAACTGCCGCACGCAGATGACGGCAGAGCACTACGGCTTGCGCCTCACTTATATAGCTTCTTCACGTAGCATAGCAAGAAACATGAACAAACGAGAGGGAGGGAGCGAGCTGATCTCCAACCCTGAGCATACATTTTGATTTGATCGACATGGTGGACAAGGGGGCGGCGAGGAGGGCCATGCAGTTCCGCATGCCGCGGCGCCGGAGGGCGGACGCGGCGTCGGCAGCGGCAGCGGCGAGCGGGGGCGGCGGGCGGAGGAAGAGGGTGGCGGTGGCGAGGCTGGGCGGCGATGGAGGCGGCCGCGGCGGGTCGGCTGAGCGGAGAAGGCTCTTCGGGGCGCTGCGGCGGGTGCGGGTGCGGTGGCTGGCGGCGCTGTACAGGCGGACGCTGCGGCGGCTGCGCGCCAGCTACGCCAGGGCCCTCCGCGAGCTCGTCGAGGGCAGGGCGCTCCTGGGCGCCCTCAACGCGCCCGCCGGCGTCGAGTGCTCCCGCGCCGCGTCGTTCGGGCCGATGGCCACCGTCGGGTTCTGAAATTCCGACCGACCTGACGGTGGGTGGGTCGGCCGTGAAAGGGTTTACTTATTATCGTGTTGGCATTATGAGGCAGAGGCACCACCTTCGGTCTTTGTACATACTACTTCCTTCGTCCCAAAATAAGCGTCTTAACTTTATAACTATATTAGCTTTAGTACAAATTTATATTAAGCTTAAAACACTTATTGTGGGATGGAGGGAGTACTACGAAGGTGTGCTTCGCGCGTAACAAGGCCGCAAACATTTTTGCTCTTTTATAGTGTGTGTTGGTGATTTGTAGTTCTGCCTTTGCTTGGATCTCCATCCATGTATGTAAAAATCCGACTCTACTCAATAAATTCTAGTGAGTATTACAATCCATGCGACACAACTATTCTCATTGCATGCAAACTTTTTTCCGTAACAATATCAGGGAACGTTTGCTGCGAGTGAGATCCCAACAAACGCCCCAACCCCAAAGCCACATGGTCCAAATCCAAAGG